CTTCCCCTTCCACTCTGAAAAGCAATGGAAAAAATATCCTCGGGTTAAGATTAACAAAAGAAAAAAGAAATGCACTTTGTTGATCCAGTGGGTATGAGAGTACACACACCATATTTAAAGTGCTGATATGTATTGGTTTTATCCTGCTTAATTACATTTTAAATTACCATGGACAAAGTCTGTTTCTTTCCTGTCACTGTATCCCCTTGAAGGCTGAAAGAGATGTATTATTTGGAACAGTTAAAAGTGGGCAGTTATGTAGTTAAAGAGCACTTGTTTAAGAGAAAACTGAAGTTTCAGACACAATTCTGCAGCTTACTGGCTGATTGATTAGGTAACAGAACCTCTCTGAGCTTCACTGGTGAAATGAAGGATTTAGATGAGATGATTTGTGAGTTTCCTTTCAGCTCTGAAACATGCTTCTCAAATTCTAGGTTGTCTAAGAAACCAGAATTGTTTTCAATTCTATGAACATTTATTTAATATTTTGCCAAAGGCTTGTGGGCACTAGATAACTAAAGTAAGGACTATTAAGGAGCTTACAAATCTAGTCTTTCTCTTTTCTCATGTGAATTTTAAAATTAAGTTTCTTAATTTTTTTACTATAATATATATAATTTTTACAAGGACTCTTACCAGATTACTATGGCAATGTGTCATTTATAATAATAAATATTAACAGAATTAGGAATATGTAAATATCTGCTGGCGTAGTATCACAAATATTCCATAATTTATAATTCCCCCAATTTGATGTTATCCATGAGTAAACTAACATTAAGTTTCATGTTCAAGACAAAGCATTGGGAATGGTCTTTAAAACCATCTCCGTTATATTTTAGCTAACTTTTAATACGTCACAAGAATACAAATAATTGACCAGGAAATCAAAACAGCCTGTATGAAAGATTAATATTGTGACTTTCTAAATGTTAAGTATGAAGTATGCATAGTAAAAATGATTAGAAATACTAGATTGATAAATCTTTGGGTTTTTGAAAGGTGATATCTGTTAAAAGACATAAAATAGTTGCTTTATTCCTAAATTTTTTTTCTTTCAGATCTCAGAACAGTTTTTTTCTGGGCTCCAGTTATGAAATGGGTAAGTCTTGAATTTTTTGCAGAAGCTACTGAAAAAAATAATCTTTAATAAGAACTTATAAATTTGAAGTGACTTTTATGAAGGATGAACTCCTCATGGTATACCTCTAAATGATTTCATGCAAATATTCTCAAATGTATCACTTTTACTGTATAAAGTACACTTTAGTTTTTTCCTGAACTCCTTTGATAAGAAGACTTCTGGGAAAGTGTTTGTTATCAAAAAACTTACAACTGTAAGCCCCAGGACATGAAACATCATTCAAAAATTTTATGACTAAGTATAAACTGCCTAGAACCCCCAAACTAAGTTTTATTATTAATTTAGTCTGAGAGCTAAAGATACTAGCACCAAAATAGAGGCAAGGAACGTTAGTCTCAGAAAGTAGAAGGATTTATTCAAGGGTATATATTAACATTTGGGCCCTGGCCAGTGTGGCTCAGTTGGTTGGAGTGTCATCCTACACACCAAAGGGTGGTGGGTTCGATCCTTGTTAGGGCACATACCTAGGTTGTAGATTCGATCCCTGGTCCGGACATGTACGGAAGGCAACCAATTGATGTTCTCTCGATTGATGTTTCTCTCACTCTCGCTCAAAAAAAAAAAAAAACATTTGGTAAATGGTAAATCTTGGACTTCTGACTCCAGGACCAATGCTTTTACCCTATGTCAGTGTTTTCATTCCTAAAGTTCTCATTTTGCTGAAGAATAATTGTGGTGGCTGTTTGTAGCAAATCGTTGGTTGATTTTATGTTAAAAGGGCCAATTTGGGCCGATAGCTGTGCTTCTCAAAGTGTCATCCCTGGACCTGCAGCATTGGCATCACCAAGGAACATGTTAGAAATGTAAATTTTCAGGCCCCATCACAGATTTACCAAATCTGAAACTCTGGAGATGGAGCCCAGTAATTTGTGTTTTAACAAACCCTGCTGGTGATTCCAATGCCTTATAAAGTTTGAAAACTGGTCTGTAGGATTTCTTTTTAATTGTAGTAAAATACACATAAAATTTACCATCTTTTCTTTTGTAAAGAATCAACTTAATCCCACAGCACTCTCTATATAAAATACAGACACATAATTTTCACCTGTCCCGTCACCTGTTCTTTTTGGCAATCGTCAGCTTGCTCTCTATATCTATGGGTCTGTTTCTGTTTTGCTCATGTTTTTTCGTTTGTTTCAGATTTCACATATAAGAGAAATCATACAGTATTTGTCTTTCTCTGACTTATTTCACTTAGCTTAATACCCTCTAGGTCCATCCATGCTGTTGCAAATGGGACTATGTCATTATTTTTTAGCGCTGAGTAAAATACTCCATTGTATACATATACCACATCTTCTTTTTAAAAAATATTTTTTTATTGATTTTGGAGACAGAGGAAGGGAGAGGGAGAGAGAGAAACATCGATCGGTTGCCTCCTGCACGCACCCTGACTGAGGATCAAACCCACAACCAGGGTATGTGTCCTGATGGAATAGAACTGGCTACCTTTTCATTGGATGGGAAGATGCTCCAACCAACAGCCACACCAGCCAGGGCTCTACCACATCTCCTTTATCCACTCATCTATCAATGAACACCTTGGCTGCTTTCATACCTTGGCTATTGTAAATAATGCTGCATTGAACATAGGGGTGCATGTATCTTTTTGAACTAGTGTTTTGAATTTCTTTGGATAAATGCCCAGAGTGGAAGAAAATACCAATGTCACCACTGTAAAAGAGTTTATTGCCTATGTTTTCTGGTCTTTAATGCGTTTTCAATTTATCTTTATATATGGTATAAGAAAGAGGTCTAGATTCTTTTTTTTTTTTTTTTTTTATATCTGTCCAGTTTTCCCAACATCATTTATTGAAGAGACTTTCTTTATCCCATTGTCTAACCTTGCCTCCTTTGTCATAGATTAATTGACAGTATAGGCATGGGTTTATTTCTGGGATCTCTGTTGTGTACCATTGATTTATGTGTCTGTTTTTATGCCAGTACCATCCTGTTTTGATTACTATAGCCTTTTAGTATAGATGGATATCAGATAGCATGGTACCTCCAACTTTGTTCTTTCTCAAGATTGCTTTGGCTATTTGGGGTCTCTTGTGATTCCATATAACTTTTAGGGTTATTCTAGTTCTGTGAAAAATGACATTGGTATTTAATAGGGATTACACTGAAACTAGATTTCTTTGGGTAGTGCGGACATTTTAATGATGTTTTCTTCCAGTCCATGAATACAGTATATCCTTCCACTTATTTGTGTCATCTTCAATTTTATTCCTAGGTATTTTATGCTTTTGATACAGTTCTAAGTGGGACTGTTTTCTTAATTTCTTTTTGATTGTTTGTTATTGGTATATACAAATGCAACTGATTTCTGAATACTAATTTTGTATCCTGCTACTTCACTGAATTCATTTATTCTAATAGTTTTTTGGTGGAATCTTTAGGGTTCTCTCTCTATAACATCATGTCATCTGCAAATAATAACAGTTCTACTTCTTCCTTTCCAATTTGGATGCCTTTTACTTTTCTTATCTGATATCATTAGGACTTCCATTATTATGTTGATTATAGTAGTGAAAATGTACATCCTTGGCTTGTTTCTAATCTTAAAGAAAACGCTTCCAGCTGTTCATTGAGTGATGTTAGCTGTGGGCTTGTCATATATGGCTTCTATCAGATTGAGGTATATTTCCTCTATCCCCACTTTGCTGAAAGTTTTTATCACAAATAGATATTGGATTTTGTCATGCTTTCTCTGTATCTATTGATATTATATGACCTTTATACTTCATTTTATGTGGTATATCATGTGAATTGGTTTACAGATATTGAACCAACCTCTCATCCCCGGAATAAATCCCATTTGATCATGGTATATGATCCTTTTGATATATGGCTGAACTTGGTCTGCTAATATTTTGTTGTGGATTTTTGCATCTATGCTTATCATGGATATTGGCTGTACTTTTCTTTGTTTATGTAGTGTCTTTTTCTGGTATCAGGGTAATGCTGGCCTCATAAAATAAGTTTGGGAACTTTCCCTCCTCTTCATATCTTTGGAATAGTTTAAGAAGGGTAGGTATTAATTCTTCTTTGAATGTTTGGTAGAATTCACCTTTGAAGTCATCTGGTTCTGGACTTCTGTTTGTTGAGAGTGTTTTGATTACTGCTTCAATTTCATTGCTAGTAATTGGTCTGTTTGGATTTTGTATTCCTGGATCAGTCTTGAAAAGTTATGTAATTCTAGAAATTTATCAATTTCTTCTAGATTGTATAATTTGTTGGCATATATTTGTAAATAGACAAAGAATCATTAAAGAATACTATCTGTTGGTTGTAACGTCTCTTTTACTTATGATTTTATTTGGGTTCTTCCTTTTTTGTCTTGATGAGTTTGGCTAAAGGTTTGTCAATTTTATTTATCTTTTCAAATAACCAGCTCTTAGTTTTAGTGATCTTTTCTATCTTTTTTTAATTTCTACTTTATTTCCTCTCTAATGTTTACTTCCTTCCATCTGTTTACTTTGGGTTTTGTTTGTTCTTCTCTTTCCAGTTCCTTTAGGTATAGAGTTAGATTTTTTTATTTGGAATTTTTCTTCTTTCTTCAGATAGGCCTGTACAGCTAGGAACTTCCCTCTTAGAATTGCTTTTGCTGCATCCCCCAAATTTTGAAGAGATATGTTTTCATTTTCATTTGTTTCAAGATAGTTTTTGATCCATTGGTTGTTTAGTAGCATGTTGTTTAGTCTCCATGTTTGTGTTTATTCTAGTTTTCTTCCTATAATTGATTCCTAGTTTCATCCCACTGTGGTCAGAAAACATACTTGGTATGATTTAAATCTTGAATTCATTGAGGCTTGTTCTGTGGCCTATAATATGTAGTCTATCCTGAAGAATGTTCCATGTGCTCTTGAAAAAATGGGTATTCTTGCCCTGGCTGTTTTGGCTCAGTTGTTAGAGCATCGGCCCGTGGACCCAAGGGGTTTCAGGTTCGATTCCTGGTCAAGGCACGTACCTCAGTTGCAGGTTCAATCCCCGGCCTTGGTTGGGGTGCATGTGGGAGGCAACCAATTGATGTGTCTCTCTCACATCAAGGTTTCTCTCTCTGCCTCCCTCCCTTCCTCTCTCTCTCTGGAAAAACATCAATGGAAAAATATCCTCAGGTGAGGATTAAAGAAAAGAGTATTCTCCAGTTCTTGGATGAAGTATTCTAAAAATGCCTGTTATATTGACCTGGTCTAATGTGACATTTAAGGCCATTATTTCCTTATTAATTTGATGCTTGATTCTTCCTTATACTTTCTAACTCTTTGTTGAAGTTCTCCCTAAATTACTTGATTCTACTGTCAAGGTTGGTGAGCATCCTTATGACTATTTCTTTAAATTCTTTTTCTGGTAAATTACTTATCTCTGTTTCAATGGGGTTATTTTCTAGGGATTTTTATTGTTCCTTCATTGAGAGAGATTCTTCTGTCTTTCATTTTGTTTGACTTTCTACATTTGTTTATATGAATTAGACAAAATAACTGTCTCAGTCTTGAAAATAATGGTTTGTGTAGATGTGACCTCTGTGTAACCTGTGTGTGCCAGGTAGTCTTGGCAGGGCTGTTTGAGCCAGGCTAGCACTGGCTGTGCCTGGGGTGCTGGCTTTGCCAGGCTGGAGTGGCTCTAGCAGGGAGATTACTTATAGGTTGTGATATCCTGTTGGCTCTCCTTGCTCCCTTTGGGCCAACATGGGCTCCAGGCAGTTTGGCTGGGCAAGCACTGCTGAATATTGCAGGTGGCCAGCCAGGGCATCTGGATAGAGTCCATTCCCACCCTATTGAGGTAGAAGGTAAACATTAGTGCTCACTGGCTCCTCCAATCCTGGAGGTTCCCACAGACCCCAGAGAACTCTTAATGATTTCCTAGCCTTCTCTATTCAGTCTCTTTCCTTTGTTTGTGGCGCAGTAGCTGTTCAGCCTTTAGCTGTCTCTCAGGAGGAAATGCTCTATATATAG